ACCAAAATTAGCTTGCTCATATGCTCCAATTCCACCATGGTGCTGATGCTCACTGCCGTGTTCCCTCGGAACAATTCTTTCAGGAAGCATTTGCACTTTGGAACCAACTCACCGGCACCACCGCTGACAGCTGGGACAGCCTTAATGCTACATTCATTCACCATCCCTCTATCCGCTACTTTCACAGGGTGCTCGGTAACACTATCTTTGCCCGAGATAGTAACCACAAGGCTAACTCTAAGGAACTGTTCTTTCTGCAATGTGTCTTTGCACCGGAACCCATCAATGCCGCCCCATTTCTGTTGGCTCACATCCAGGCAAACTGTGGTCGAGGCTCAAAGCCTTTTTACTTCGGAGGTATCGTCACTTCCATTGCCTTGTCACTCGACCTCGACAATGGCCTCCAGGCCCTCCCGTCCATACCTCCTGTTTTCCTTGATGTCGACTACTGTCGTTCTTCTCACCTCATCAAGGTACGAGCCGACGGAAGATATCATCCGGTGGTTCGTAACCGCACCATCCGCAACATCATCCTTCCATGTCGTGATCGTGATCACCCTCAGAACAGAGCCAACTGGCTTTTTGACCCAACGGCACCTGAGGCCAATGCTGCAGCACCTCTAGAGAATGTTCAAGTGCCCGTTGATGAGGTACAAGATGAACTGGACCGCGCTGCTCAGGCTGCAGCTCCTCAGCAACCACCTCCTGAAGGTCCTTCCTTCCGTCATCGCCGCCGTCCTCAAACCGAATCTACCAATGAAGATATCCTTCACGCCATTTGGAAACAGAACAAGACCGCCGTCCTACTTGAATGTCGTCAACAAGAACAACATCAGCAGGTCATAGATTTGTTGGTCGCCCAAGGGGAACGCCTCAACAACGTAGTAGATGAGATGGCCGTTCTAAACGTCCGTGTGGACGACCTACGAGACTTCTTCTTTCACACTAGTGTCCTACACCCCACGACCCGAGGAGGACGACATCGCGGAAGAGGACGAGACAAAGAGTAATGTTCTTTTATTTTCTGCATTTTCTTGTTTTCATTGTTGTACACCTTCCACTATCGTTTCAAAGCAGTGAGGACACTGCTTGAGATGGTGTGGGTGCGACACTTTATTATCCATTTCTATTATGTACTCTATTTCCCTTTCAAAGTAATTTCAATTCAGTTCTATTTCAGTTCAATAAAGCGCATTTCTTATATTCTTTTCCGTTACAAAAGCTTCCCCCGCTTAATCTGCTTTACTCGAGTTATAAGAAAACTTTTTCGATGCAAACATCCGATGCGCCAAGATTAAGGCCGAGTCAAGGAGACCCGAGAACGATTACTAACGAATCCCATACCGCTTTGACACCTTAGACCTCCGGTTTATGCGGGCCAGTTCCACTACCTACTGTACCAAAGCCTCAGGTTCGAGCACCAAGCGAAGCCCTTAGTAGTTTATAAAAGCAGTCATCACCGCCTTAAGCGCGTACCACGTGGAAAGCCGATGCAAATAAGTGATCGGTAAGATCGTAAAGAAAAGAATTGCTCTGCAGCCATGTAGTGATTATCTACCTCTGATATCTCGGAATAGCAAAAAGAAGAGAAAAGTGAGCTCATAAAAGAAAAGAAGTTCTCTGTCAGTTGGTCCATAGGTCTCTGGTTATGGACTCGGTAGGGCGAATCACGGTTCGATCCCCCACAACTTGCAAAGTGAAAATATCATAGGGTACCACACTCGTGCACCAGACCCCGTAGAAAGAAAAGACCGAAGTCACTAACAGGCTATTCCACTACGTGCGCGCAAAGAGTTAAAGGGCTTAATGTGATTGCGCTGGAACGAAATTGGGTAAAACTTGGTACGATGAACTTAACGCCGAGCTACAGCAGCATGATTGGAACCGGCTCATATAAGGAGGAGACCTTCGAGAGCATTTCCGCTTAGTGTCAAGTTCGTATGCGTGTTGTTATGGATCCTCTCCGAATTCCCGACTCAGCGCCTCTGAAGCAACTTTGAAAACACAAAGGAACGCATCGTGTAGCTGCATCGTCTCAGCTTTTAGGCTTTTTGCTTGAAGACAAGCAAAGATTCATGTTTAGGGGAGTTTGATAACGCGAAAATGTATATATCAAATGCCATAATTTCATGCTACTAACGATCGATTTCACCCTGATTTTGGACCATATCCGCATTATTTGTTAAGTATTTTGCAGGTTTACGAAGTCAACACTCAATTGAAGCAAGACAAGGAAAACAAGTACTAAAAGGCATATAACAGAAGAAAAAGGACGAAAAAAGTAACAGAAAGAAATTTTGCTGATATGACGGTCGTCACAGGTCCCTTACGACCGTCACGTGTGTGACGACCGTCATGACCGTCACGAACATCATGAGTTCGTCACGAGCGTCATGAGTCCCTTACGACCGTCACACTTATAAACTCAGTTCAACGTCCACTTCTCAGAACGTGCAACAGAAGCCCAAAAACAGAAGCACAACTCCCTGGATTTTCTGACCCTCAATTGCACATCCAGAAGCAGTTCAAGTATGAATCATCCACTATAAAAGGAGGACTTGGGGACTGAAATAGGGGAGCCGCATTGAAGACCACGAAGTGCTGCCGGATTTACTACAAAGTGATTTTCTTGTTTTTGTTTCCTTTCCTTTGTTTTTTTTCCAGAATTCAGTTGTAATTTTCGTTCTTTGAATTTTCGTACAATTAATCGTCACCAGAGTAATCCTGCCGACATAGTGGAGGATTATCCAAGTACCGAACCAGAATTGTTTACAGGTTCCGTTATTATTAATTAATTCTATTTGCTTTAGTATGTATGTTTACAAGTTCTGCTATTTTAATTTAATTATGCATGCTTTAAATTTCATGTCTAGCTAAACCGCATCGATCGATATGTAATGAACTAGTAGAACGAGATTCGATAATAACCGGCGTTTTTTCCCTTTTTCAAACTTGTTTTCTGGCTTTAGTTTTTAAATCAAATTTGTTAAACTAAACTTCGCCGCGACAGCGAGAATTCGTTTAAAGTAATCTCGCCACGACAGTGGGAGATTCACTAAGGTATGAACCGACACGCGAAAGCTAAGGCTAGGACCAGATAGTAAAAACTAGGCATTTATTTTAAACACAGCGAAAGCACTTTAAAAGATATTAGAACTCAATGGTTTTCAAAAATCAATTTTAACCCCGAACGGGATAGCGAAAGCATACGTTCCGCATTAGAGTTGCGACTAGCGTCAACAACCATCGTGAGACAAAGGTCTTTGAACCGTTATTTTCTTCTGAAAACCATTTTTGAAATTATTAAACCGCGCCGGTAACTTATCGAATCCTCAAAGCACTAAGTTATTGCATACCGATTCTCCGCATTAATATTCTAAGAAACATCTAGCATTTCTTTAGTTTAGCCTTTACTTTTGCATATTTTCCCTTAAACCATATACGACCTAGCTAAACACAGTAACGTCCGAGAACACTAGATTGATTACGAGTCCCTGTGGGATCGATATCTTTATTACTACGCGATAGACTGTACACTTGCAGTTAATTCGATTAGACTCGGAAAGTCGCGATCAGATGTGCATTGTTCTCTTCGTGAATCTCCTAGAGTATGTTAGGGACCTTGGACTCCTCGACAAAGAACGGTCCAAAGAACGGTTCATGACATCTTAGAGATATGAAAGCGTCCACCGGGCTACCGAAATATAGTATTTAAATTTCTTACGAAATCATCAATGTAACGCCGATTTTATTGTTGCAATTTTGATTTTCTGGTATTCTGTTTCTGAGTTTCTTCCGTAAATACATATGAAAATATTTCGCAGATGCATCTACGGAAATAATTTAAAAAATGTGAAAAAAGGTGTGTCCGAAGATCAATCTTCAGAATCAGAAGGTATTTTAGGCAGAGCACATGATGTCTAAGAAACCTAAGCGGTGGGATAGAAAATTCATCTTAATCAATGTTGATACGAAGGCTCAACAAGGAGGATTCTACCTGTCATCCCCTCACTTATATTTAACATCTCTAATTATTACAAAATTCTATTTTTTTTCTTTAAAATTTTTTGAAAATTATATACTTTATAGGTGTATATCTGAAATTTCGTGATATATAACGAAAATTTTGAAAATTTTTATTTTTTATCATAAATTTTGAAATTTTCGATAATGTAAAAATTTCCAAAAATTTTGAAATTGGTGGTATATCAAAAATTTCAAAACTTTCTGTCACCAATATCGAAATAGATGATACTGTATCGAAATTTTCAATACTGTAAAACCAATTTTAAAATTGGTGATAGTGTAAAAAAAAATTGAAACCTTTTCACTACTAGAAATTACGAAATTTTCAATATACCATAAATTTCAAAATTTCCAATATACTACTAATTTCCAAAATTTCAAAATTTCCAATATACTACTAATTTCCAAAATTTCAAAATTTTCAATAACTTAAATTTTTTTCACTTATTTCAAATTTGTTTTAAATTTTGTTAAGGCAGTTTTAGAATTATGAAAATTTGAGAGGTGCATGGTGCCAGATAGAATCCTCCTCAACAAACGTTTACATAAATTACTAGACAACCTTAGCCCCAAAGGTCGAGCGATAGCCAATTCAATGTCTATTACTTATTAAAGATAAATTTGAGACATAGTAACACTTGAATGTTCCTTAATTATTAGTATCATGGATAAAATTTGCAAGTATAAATGAAGATTTAAAAAAAAAGAAGCTAATAATAACTTATGAATACAAATTTGTATTGTGTGCAAAATGCACAACTGAGAACCCATTTCTTTCTCCCTTTGAAAAAAGTAAGCAAGGATCTTGTCAAAGACAGATATTTACAAATAGAACATAAAAAGGGAGCAACATTTTTGAAATGGTATCAGTTGTTTAGAGCTCTTTGATGTATAATTTGCAACAAAGAATGCATTTACAATTTAGAACCCCGAGTTAAAAAAGAAATCAAAACCTCAAGGAGAAAAGATCAAGACTAAAATAGTTGGTTCGTAAGAAAATAATTGTCTACTACTTTACGATGACGCCTAGAACCTGTTCTCCTATCTCCTCTTCCGCGTCTAGGATTCTTCTTCAAAGGCTTGTTACTAGTATAGAAAGCAGGTCGATTGAAACGAGTGATTATGACTGAAGGAGGAGGCATGTTCTCCAATACGTCTCTATGATAAGCCTGAAATTTATTGCAAACCAACATCAAAATTCTTTATTTCAAAAGAACAAATGCAGAGAGAATTTACACTATGTTTTAGACATTAGCCAATCTCATGAGAAAAATGGTTAGCATTAATCAATTTGTTTCCTTTTTGTAAAGTTCTTCCCATGAAATATAAAAGACTGATCAATAACTCTTTTTGTTTCCAATTTCGATTTTCCCTTATATTTATGAAAAAGCCACCTGGTTTTTACAAAAAAAAATGTGTGGAAAACAGTAGGAACCCTGTTTCATGTACAAAGCTTTAAAAATAGGAAATAGATTGAAAACAAGGAGGCAGATTTGTATTTTCAAAAATTGCAGCAAATAAAAACTAACCTGTATCACAAAGTTTCGCCTTTCACAATCCAGAAACATATCGATACTCCAATCAACTTTTGCCATTATTTTATCTCTTACCGTGGAAAAGCTCAACTGATCCCTGGAAGTAAAGCGATCGACTTCATTGAACCATAAGCAGGTAAACAGATTTGTAATTGGAATGTGTTCTCTAATGATAGCACAACCTTCGGGAACATCTGCAGAAGCACAAGGCGTATTTAAGATGCAGTATTATATGCAAGCACGGGCACATTACTCCGTAGATAATAATCTATTTTGCAAGAATAGGCCTGTAAATATCGAAATTGTTCTTACCACTAGTTATGGGAAGTTTAGCCCTAGAATAATGAGTTAAACCATCGTGGGATTGATAAAATTGGACTTGGCGATCAATGGAAGCATTTTCATATTTTCCAGCTGCTTTATTAGCCTCAGCCTCGACAAAGACATCAAAGCGCCTATAGTGTCTTGAAATGGCAAACGTAGCATTTGGGCGCCACAAAAACCTGGATAATAAAAAAAACAGGCGGTGACAATGAATATATGACTGATACTATCAGAAATTCTTCTAGGTAACTTGGCTAAGTAAGCAACAATTACTTGCAGTTAACCAAAGGCGAAGGGTTATATAACTCGATCATCATGACTATAAAAAGAAATCTAAGTCTGTATTATGCAATAATAAATCTTCAAAACTTTTATAGAAAATACCAAGGACAGAGACCAAGTAGAAGCAAAATTGTAAAGGATGTGCACAACTATCACAAAGTTGAAAATAGTAAATAAATTCTATAAATCATGTAAATCCATGCCGAAAATCATTTACCAATTAATAAAAGATAAATCTTCTAAAGTGTATGGCTGACATTATAGTATCTAAAACTTGTCAAAGAATACTAATTCAACTCTAAAGTTTAAAATGACAGTTAACAAAAACTTGCCTCCCTCTACATACAAAGGGAATAAAAATATGAAGAAAAATATGATAAAAAAGAGAACGCATTTTACCTTTCAAGAACTTGATATGGGTCAACAATGAGCTGAAGCTTCCCATCTATCCAAATTGAATATCGAACATTGGGGAAGATTCTGTGAAGAAGAAGTTTTGGAATCTGCCATATGTTCAGAGGCATCATAATTCATAACAGCCCATACACAATAAGTTCCACACTCATTTTAGGGAGCACGACAAAAACACTATCATACTTCAATAGGATACAAATTTGATTTCTATTTGTTAATATATTAAAAAAGCAAATTGTTAATACTTCATAAAACCAATAACTCAGTTTTCTCTTGTATAATTATTTCAACTAATTAACACCCTTTCCCTTCCACCTTTCCTACTGTTTCTATTAGATTTCACTTTTTATAGTACTACCTAACTCAGCAAAACAGTTACCTACCCAAATACTCAAATATTAGAAGATAAATCAACAAATAAATTTCTTAATCTTTATGCATTGAAGCCCCAAGCCTCACTTCATGCACTGGATTAACAAAGTCATAAATGATTACAGGTCCTTCCACATCAAAATGCAAGCAGCCTTTGGAAATAAAAGAGCCCATTTTATTATACTACATAGTCCATATTGGTAGGAAGCACCAAAGACCAAACCCAGCAATTAAATTGGATTTTGGAAATGGGTAATAAAGGCTCAATTAATCAAGTAGAATTGTTATGCGGATTAAAGTTCTGAGATCATATCAGAAAACAGATGTAATTCAGAAAGAAGTGTTAAAAAATTAGGATATAGTATTAGATTTCAATAAATCACATTATTGATGTTGTAATAATAAGCAAAGAGTAAGCAATTAACCTTTCCATTACGCCTAGAATCAGCATATGGAATATTCCGGACAACAATGATTCTCCACAATCCAACTCTCCTGCTGCTATCCAAAATACTGGCATTTCTCATATAAATTTCTGTCTCTTCGTCAATAAACATATAGAAAGGAACGTTTTTCCTTGCTTCTATACTGATGTTCCTGGGCTGTTGTATTACATCATAGTTTCCTGATATATATATATATATTGGATGCAGCTATGAGAACCAGAAAACAGAGGACAAAAAAGCAAATGTAGAACATAATCAGTCATAAATCATACCAAATATGGCAGACGCAACAATTATATCATGGTACTGATCCAACTCTAAGAGATCTTCCTCATCAAAATCAAACCCAGTCCGGCGGCCAGGTCTGCTTCCTTTGACAAATCTGACAAGAGTGTATGTCAGCCAAGAAACGCAACAATAGGCATTCAAAATGCATTGGGTACTGAACCCAGATTCTGTGCAGTAAAAAAATCCTGCAGGCACTACATCTCAACAGTAAGACATGTGCCATGTATCTACTTCGCCAAATTGGGTTTAAAACGCAAACAAGAAGTACTAACCATCTTATATTTATCGAACTGAGATACAGTGATTGCAAGTAATGAGAAAATGAAAACAATTAATAAAAACGAACTAACCCGCAATGCACTTTCATGGTCTCTTTTATATCAAAAGAAGCATCCCTTTCTTCCAGAGTAGGGTATCCACCAAAATCAGAGCCACCCTCTTGTTCAATTGGAAACATAGTTTCATTCTGTACATATGTGAGAGTGTGAAGTATAGGAGACTCTGATGGGGAACTTGGCATACTATCCATGGCTTTATCCACAGGCATATAGCACACAGGACATGCTGAAAGGGAAAGAGTAAACACGTGATCAACAGAATTCTAAAATGACAACAACTCAATATGTACCGAGTTCGATATTTATATCAGAAGCTATTGCACAGATTCAAAACAGATACAGTTTTGTAAGTTAAGAATTGAAAACATGACCCAACTGAAAAATAAAACAAAACTTACGGCGTGGTCCAGTTCTTCTTCTATCAGCCAGTGGAGGAGGATATGCAAAATGGTCACAATAATGTCCTGCAGTAGAGGAAGACCCTATTTTTTCTTTCAAATTATATGAAGATGGTAAATGGGAAACAGGATGATCCTTGACTGTAGAACTACTTGTTACTGGTGTCTTTCTAGTAGAAATACTATTCCTCAACTTTGTTTCTATTGTTTCATCAAGGCCTAAAAAATCATAGCTACTAAAGGCATGGGACCGTGTATTTTCAATTTCACTAGTAATGTTTCCACCTGAAGATCAACACAAAACCAAAAACACACCATGAAACATACAGATTTGAAAAACAAAAGTTTAAAAAGTTAAATAAAAAAGGACATTTCAAAGCATGTTATAACTTATAAGTCATAACCAACATAGCAAAACTAGTCTAGTCTAACTAACTAGATAAGAGTTTAATATATTCGGAACATCATATAAAACCAATCATATCTCGTCCTAGTTTCGTTTTATTATATCACTTTTATATGGACAAACATAAAGAATCTATGTGGTGAAATATGATCAGTGTTGTGAATCGCAGATCATGGAAGATTTTATTCAACCTTTGCTGTGAAACAATGCTATAGAGCCTATATAATCATTAATTGTCAACACTGTGTACTAAACAACATATCAAATAACCTTCGTGATCGGCAATTTAGCAACAATGGATATGATTGAATATTATAGTCTTATAGCATATACATTAAACTCTATAAATAAACACATACATGAAGGAAATAATGGAAGAGTAACTAAGAACTAAACTAAACTAACCTTTGTAAAGTGTAAAGCAACCAAAGACAAAAATGAAAAGGCCAAATAGAAGTGTGAGAAGCATAGCAACCCTGCCACGTCCAAGGTGGCGACAAATATAAGGGCAACCCCTTTCTTTCTCTTTCTCTTTAGGGTTATAAAGGAGCGCCCTTGAAGGTCTACGAACAAGCACAGGAACCTGCAAACCATTTCCATTCTGAACCAACTGCAGAGAACCAAAGCTACATGTTCGTAGACCCAATGACACTCCAGTCATCTCTCTCCTTTCAATTTCATCTCCTTTTCACCAACAACAACAGCAACAACAACAACAAACAAATCTACAAATCTACAAATCCAAAATTCCACAACCTCGATAACTTCAAAATTCAAAATTCAAAATTCTAATGGTAATAAGATTAACAATAATGCTATAAGTATCACATTTTACAAGAATTCGAAACCCTGCGAGCTACATTTGATGCCGAGGATTGAGAAACGAAAGACACGATTCAAGAGTTGGAAGGGTAAAAAAGGGAAAGTTGATCGGAGTGGGTCCCACCGATGAGACTCCGGGGAAGCGTGATGGGGAAATGGTTGGATGGAAGGAGAACTGAATCTCGGCGTGGAGGTTGTCGTGGTTGGGTTTGAAATCGGGATTGGGAAGAAGAAGGAGATGATGATGGATTGAGGTGTAGCGTGAATGGAGGGAAGAGAGAATAGAGACAAACAAACAAACACAAGATTCGCATCAATGCATTGCATTTTAATGGGCCTTCATTTAGCCCAATTTAATGTAACACCAAATATATATACATATGAAAAGATATTTTTTTTTATAAATCGGATATCTTCTTAGCGTTGAGATTAATCTGCTTCAATCTATAGTAAAATTCTTTCTTTTTAAAAAAATTGAACGCTGCTATATGTATAGAGTCGGGTTCGATCCTAAGACCACTAAAAGAGATTTTTTAGTGTATCATCGAAATCTTCTTGATTTTAATATAGTTTTTAATTTGTAATTAAAGGGAAAATTTTAATTTAGGGTGTGTCAATATTAAATTGATTATTTTAATTATCAATTTAAAAATAAGTATTTTGTTAAACAATTCTGTTAATAGTTGTGAAGAGACGTTAGATATAAAAATGCTGATTCGAATTTGCAGCATTCACTTAAATAAGTGAATGTCAGTCACAAAACTATTTTTGAAAAATAAATAAAGAAAATAAAGAATATTTTTTAGGAATTATATCAATCATTGTGAAATTGGTTTTTAGAATACAAAAAGAAATAAAAAGTTAGTTTTTCTTATACTCATCGAATGTTAATTCATGAAAAGCTCAAAAGTGGGTGAGGAGTGTGGAAAGGATGTGGTAGACAAGTATGGGAGGTAGTAAAGGCAAAATTTATTTGCAAAAAAACTTACCTAACATGAATTTTTTGTAATGGCAAGTGAATTGTGTTTAAAGAAAAGGATATTAAAACAAATTAACTACAAAGTGAAAAAATAAAAATAAATAAAAGGAATAAATGTGCTTAGAAATGCTGCTGTAAGAAATAAAGAAGCGTCACCTAACTATATATAACTTTCAGCCACTTCATAAAATTATTCGAGTTGGTATAAATAATTTCCTCAAAAAATTTAAAATTTTAGAGGAATTTTAAAAAAATTATATTAATTTGTGTCCCTGGAAGACATATTAAAAAACTATCAAATAAATAAAAAGTATAAAAAGTTTGTATTAAAAAATAATAAAAAGTAATCATAAATTTTCTAAACAATGTCATTGAGCTGAAATAAATCATAAGCTTGGTTGAAAATATGATTTATTCAGTCTAATGGCAATGCACTCTTTTCCAACTGTAGATGTTAAACATGATTCATATCTTCTTTTTTTCCCACATCATTATGATGAGTAATAATTTTGAGCCAAACCATTATTAATTAGTCTCTGAAGTTGATAATGCTTTTAGAGAACCAACTAATTCAAATTTGTCTTTATATACTAGTACTTGCATATTATGTGATTCTAGATTATGTGTGTTTGAAAAATACCTGAAGCATCATGGTTTAGCTTTACCTAACTCTCCAATCTCTATCTTACCACTACCTATGGGAAGTTTAGTCCAGAAGTAATGAGTTTTTTAATGAGAAGTTTGTTTCAAGATCTAATTCTAAGGGTATATTTGAAAGTTTTTTTTAAAGGTGATGAGAGGGAAAGGCTATGTTATTTATATCTTAAAATTAGTAACTAATGGTATGTCTATTCGAGAATTTTATGTTATGGATGCGTTGTTGTAATTAATTTTTAAGAAAATAGTAAAATTATAAATAAAAAATAGATATAATTGAAATTAAATATGTGTATTGGTATGTGATCTCACCTGACCAGAAAGAAATCAGTTATCTGTCACGCGTCGTGATTTGATGTCTTCATCGGAGTTACGGAGGAGAAAGGGGGTGTACTTGCAAAATGCTATGATGCCTAAGTAAGTACCGGAGCTAGAGAGAGCAAGTGCAGAAAGAAGGTGTAGATAATAGAATATCTGACCCTCTAGTGAAAGAGGATATTTATAATATGCTCCTACCGCAGGGCCAACAATTACATTACATTGGGTTGCATTGCCAAGCCCAACACAAGTAACTGTTAGGGCTTATGTGGCGTAGTGAAAACCAGCACGTGGTCTTCGCCCTGGATCAATTGCCCCGTGATCTTCGGAAGGTGGGCTAACCATCTCTTTCATACGTGGGTAGTTGCCTGATGATGTGTCCCCGCATGGGGGAGCATGTGGAGAACATGGAGGAAGCGTGTGGGCTTCCCCGTCAGGAGGTCTTCTGCTCGACGGATGTGCCTTGTTGAGGCTCCTGCTCGACAGAAGAAATTGGGCCTTGTTGGGCCTCATCATCATATCTTTGGGTTGGGCCTGCCCGGCTGAGGGGCAGGTCTTGGCCAAGTCCAGAACAGGAGTCCCCCAAGTCGTTGCTCTGAGGTAGAGGAATAGTGACTTAAGGGCAGGTTGAAATGCCAAGGTCCTCTTCGGGAGAGTGCATATGCCCGACGTATGGAATCGAGAGTTGCTTATTGTGCAAGGAAAGGAGGCATGCCGGGGATCCTATGAGGCACGCGGGGAGCCTAGGAGGCATATCGGGGAGCCAAACGGGGAGACGAATGGCTTCTGAGCTTTTGGAGCCGCCACATGTCAGGCAGCCACTGCTTGGCTAGGGCGGCTAAGGGTAGGGGTGCTTGAGTGCCTAGGGGCGTCTCGAGTCCCGTGCTAGGCTTATAAATAGGCTCGATCCTACTCCATTTCCCACTTTTCACTCTCCCTGCTCCTGACGTCGCTCTTCTTTCTCTTCTGCCTCCTCAAGTTCTGCACAACGACGTCCGCCGTCAGCCGCTGTACTGATTGCTGTATCCTTTGCCTAAAACTGCCGTACCAAGTAAGTTTTGGATGTTTTTGTTTGTCACTACAACATTTAGACTCTCCAGCAACCATTCAAAAATGTTGCCCAAACTCTGGAAAATGTTGCCTAAAAGAATAGGGGACGTTTTCTAGGCGTCTCCTGTGCGAGCGTTGCCTATTGTCTAAGGGGACATTTTTTCATGATCTTTGGGCACGATTTTTAAAAACGTCGCCTAAACAAAAGGAATAGGGGACGATTATTTCTGGCCTCTAAGGCAACGCTTTTTAAGTGTTTCCACAAAAGGAATAGGGGACGATTATTTGTGTCCTCTGAGGTGACACTTTTTAAGTGTTGCTACAAAAGGAATAGGGGACGATTATTCGTGGCCTCTTAGGTGATGCTTTTAAATTGTTGCCAAATACGGCTACAATTAATAAGTGATTCCTTTAATCTGAATCAGAAGGATTATTTTTAAAGTGTCCCAATAAAATAAGGAGGAATTATTTTACAGTGTCCCCACCTTTTGAATCTTGTTTTTACAGTGTCCCCATAAAATATACATTTTATAATTATTTTTTAAAATTTAGTCGATGATGATTGGCTTCAAAAAAATATCGATTATAACTTAAACAAGATCAAATTTAACCATCCACAAATGTTATATTATAATAAAATTGAGTTCAAACATTAATTTAAGATAGTAGTTAGTAAACAAAATGCCTAACGTAACATTACTTATAATAATAATTAAGTTTAATACTTTGAAGTATGACCCTAGCAAAATAACAAAAAAACATAGTTCAAGTTTAATGCTTTCAACTACAAGCAAAAAAAAAAAGAAATCATCCAACTCATTCAAGTTTGTCTTCTTGAAATTCATCATCCATATCGTCTTCTTGAAATTCATCACATATTTCGTCCTCCAGAAATTCTTCATCTACCCCGTCCTCTCGAAATTCACTATATATATCGTCCTCTTGAAATTCATCATCTACATTTATGTCGTCCTCTTGAAATTCATCACCTGCAACATCCTCTTGGAATCCATCATCTATGTCGTCCTCTTGAATTTCGTCATTTATATCGTCCTTTTCAACATCTTCATTAATACCTTGCTGCATAAGAAAATAAAATAAAATACATCATAATTGTTTTTGTAAGATTGAATATCTTCCCAAAACAATTTGCAGAAACAAAAACAATTTAATCTTTTATTTTAAAAAATGTTATCAAAATATATTTTACCTAAATTAAGTTTTAGAGATAGTTTACATGAAACAAGATTAATTATTGCACACACTAAACAAAAGTATGGTATCTTCTATTCTACCAATTAATGTAGAGTAAGAATATTCATGGCAAAAGTATTGCACTCATCATTCTTTATCATAAATCATATCTTTTTTCAGCTTGTACAAATGGGTATCAGAGGTATCCAAAGATTCTTCAAGAAGTGAGGACCAAATAATCACTATGGCACTAACAGATTCTAGGTTAGAGGAATATATCTATATAAAAGTATAAAGTTTACATCTAACGGCTATTAGTGATTATTATAGTTTAGTTTACACTTCACTGCTACCATGAAACATAAAGTTGTTGAATGGTGTTATAGGTATATATATGTAAAACAGAGTTTCATCTCTGGTGATTTATGTAATATTCTTTTATGTCACATTTTTCTTTTTCTTTTTTCTTTTCTTTTTGATTGTGTATATCTTGATGTATATATATAAAATGAATGGATTGTTGGTTATGGTTTAAGGCCTTTTTTTAAGGATCAATTGTTGTATTATCATTTAAATTAAATTATTTTAATGTGTTAATTATACAAATCTGGAGTTCTCACATTCGACAGTCACTTACCTTT